CTGAACGAGGTAGGATGAGTGGTATTTAAACAACTAATGATACGGTGAAAACCCTCTCTTACCGGCGAAGCAAGCGCGCCGATGCATACGGGTTCTTTATCGAAACGACGAATCCGCGTGCGCAGGCACGTTCGCTCCCCCGGCTGAGATTCCGCGCCCTTCAAAGTAATTGCCAGGATCTCCATTGCGGTATCAGCATCACTTTCTTTCTCCTGCTCATTAGTCCCTGTAGGGATTTCCTTTGGCATAGCACCTTTGATCGCTATTTCACTTGGAGCACGCAGGCTAGTGTGACCAGCAGCATGGAATCTGCCTTCAGCTTCGACGAGATGCTCGACTTGCATTCAGCGGATGTGGGAATCGGTGAAGCGTGTGGAGAAGTGCAGAAGTACGCGCAACCGGAGGTGATAACTATCGTTGTAAAACCTCTCGTCTACCTATCTTCCTAGTCTAAAGTAAAGTTAATAAACTTCAGTATATGGAATGGTTCTCTCATGAGTATTTTCAGTGTTATGAATATTTGTGCTCTCCTTATACGGAACCTCTGATGAGCCAGCCTTCGGCAGGGCTGGCGAAAAACATGTTTAAGGGATTTGCCGATACCCCAGCCAAACATAGCGTCTGAATTTTCACCTACCTTTCTTATTGTAAAATGGTGATAGTTATAAGTGAGGAGAACCACTCTAAAATAAGTATATGGGAGAAAAACTAGCATTAGCTGATTTTTGTCGATTACGGACTTACCACTTGACAAACCCTTGGCTCTTATGATCGGATCTGCCTGTTTAATATTTATGTTGGGAAAGCTCTTCTTGGTCTCCGCTACCTCGTGCGACCTCGTTTCCCATTGTGTTTGTCACTTTTCTGGATGGGGTTTCTTGTTTCTTTTTGTGATGATTTTTTTTTATCGTGTTTGGGAATTGGGAGTTCAACTGTTRTACGCAGGTGATGAGGCATGAGGAMTGAAGGCGTTACGCTGAGGGGGAGCCTCTCGAACGTAATAATGGGGGATGCGTGTCGAGACTTGAGGGAGGATGMGTTCATGGCTAGAATTAGATGGCATGGGTTTCTTGCTGATAGGGGAATGAGTARAGTACGCGTGAATAATGTGGATTGACGGTTTCACAGGGTTGTCCGCGGGGAAAATATCCATCGCATGAGAGAGWGAGAGTAAGTGATTCTGTGTGTGGGTGTRTGTGGGGGGGGAGTTTAATGTTAACAGGACCATAGGCATAAGAGACATAACTGCGATAATCGTTGTACGTGGGTCGCAATCTGCACTAAGCTCATCTGTAGACAACTCCTCTACGATGGTGGAGCTTTTGGTAGTATGYGTTTTTGATGGACGRAACTGTTGAAAGTTKTCGTAGCTTAGGTGGTGGARGGAGTGAGGGATGTAATCCTGTTCCTGTGTTTGTGTTTGTATTCGAGAGGCGTGAACAATTGACTGAGTAGTATCGGCRGTTTYGTGGAATWGCGGGATCGTAATCAGCTGAGTATACTTGTCTTCGTAGGCAGTTTCTCTTCAACAATTCCAGCAATTTCAATTGGGGTTCGTGTGGAATGGAGAAAGTACTATGGRATTCCCTGGGGTTTAGTTTGATGTGAATTCGGTTAAGCTGATGACTTGGACGTTTCGAGAGCTATGTATATGTTGTTTGGTTGTTTGATTTTTTTTGCTGATAGTCGGGTCTAGCGCTTTGATTTCGACTCTATGTCGATTGGATGTGAACCTGATGCTTTATGGTCTGATCTCCTGTAAATGAAATAGTGCCCAATGGCGAACGTCATGCTATCACAATGGATCATGTCATCAGGATGGATGTGAGGGAATGAGGAATTCTATGGTTGCTTTATCGTGTGAGGTGACGATGAACTGGAACACGTATGTATTACGTGTTGAGGCCACAAAAATATTTGTTCACACACATCTACACACACACACCCATTGGGGGAAGTCCCTGTTTGAGCTCCTCTCATGGCTGATACCCATGACCATTCATTCGTGGCTCGCAGAATAAGATAAAGTTTTTTTTCCATACTTTGAATCATCCTCAAATATTCTTACATCTCTCTTGAGACGATTACTATTAATGCATGGCTACTCACAATTGCGACATCTGTTTCGTTTGTGTCAGGACTTTGTCACGACCCAAGTACTATGGATTCCGGATCTTGTCACTGGTGATAAATCCTGGCTGGACAGATTTCACCCTCCGTCCCACCCTACCCAAGCATTGATTGCCTATGCCCAGAAACAAGTAGTAGCAGAGGTTAGGGAGAGGTCGATCCGCCTTGGGTTTCATGCCCGTCCTTTGATTGAGCACCTTTCCTTCAATGATTGGGGCGAACTCATTTACCTCTACCGACACAGAAGGGGAGAGTTTATTGAAAATCTCAATAAAATGGCAAGGGCGACCATGGTAGTGAAGGAGTAGATAGCGAAGGAGGATAAAACGATTGAGGCGACCACTATGCAGGCAGTGACCAAGTTTATTAAAGTCTGGTCCGCTGACTCGCAGTTTCATAAGGATAAGGAAGTCCGTAGGATCATAATTGAGGATGAGGAGGCGTTGGAAGATAACGAGGATAAATTGACGGTGGAGGAAAAGGAGTACTTGAGGAAGAAGGAAGCGGAAGTGGTGAGAGTCAAGGCCTCACTGGAACTAACAAAGAAGAAGACGTATACAGATGTCAGAAGGAACGCCTTCCTTCCTTTGGCTTCGCTCATATGGGTCGAAACCATGTCGACTGCCTTGAATGGCGAGATCAGGACCCTGGATACCTTAAACTTCCATGCTCCAATTGATCAAAGAGGTTATCGTTTGTTAGCTTCACTGACTCAAGATGAGATCGTAGGTGCGTATGATAGAGCGTTTGAGATGAATACCACCACCCCTGATGTCAAGTTTCCTCTCAGAGGAGATGGTGTTTTTCTCCCGCCGATGAGCATGATGAACACAAATAAGTGTAGTCGCCCACGTCCCAACGTGATGATCAAGGGTAACAAAGCACCGCAGAATCCATCAGCTCTTGCGGAGCTGAAAAGGATTTGGAACGTAGGGCGGCCTTACTTGAAGTGTAGATGTACATTGGAGGGCAGCGAGGATTGTTGGACCGGACCGGCATTGTTCGACCATCTTGTCTGGTTCCTTCTCTACCATCTGGATGTCCTCTATCCAGATGCGCCCACACCAAAGGCGAAGATAACATCGCTGATTAAGTGCCTTTCCACGTGCTGGAAGCCGCTCATGCTCACGTCGGTCTCCTTCGGTTGTGTGAGGGAGATATTGATGGTCCTGGCCAGGAAGATCATCGCTGATCCTTCCCTGATAACGGAATCAGTCCTCAATGGGGTGGCTGGTGCCGATCGGAACGCTTTCAAGGAGTGTGCTAAAATTTTCCTTATGGCCAAGTACGTAAAAAAGAGGGCGAGAGCGGTAGAAGGGTCTTCCTCTGGTATGAAGAAAACCAGGCTAGAGGGGCAGGAGACGATGGATAGGTTTGTGAATTCCATCCCCCCTTCCAACCCCGTGAATAGTTTCGATGATTCTACCCCCCCTGCTTCGACTATCACCACGGTCACCGGGATGAGAGTCAGCCTGCCCTCTGGACTTAATGCTGGGAACGGCAAGAACCGGAACAACGTTCAACGGTCAATTTTCTCAAATTGAGGATGCGGCGGATCGCTGTGTGCAGGTACGGAAGGGCGTTCTGGAGGTTTGACCCTCTGGTAGGATCAGATGGGAGAAGCAATCTGACGAAGGAAAAACACCTACCAGATTTGTCCATTTCCATTATGTTGGGAGGATTATGGATGGCATCAAAGTCGCAAGGATTTTTTAGTCTGTCCTTTCGAAATTTGTGAGTGCATCCGTACTAACGGTATTCTTAACTATTCTGTTCGGGTGGAAATATGACGACTCTATCAAGACGCACGTATATAAGCCAACTGCGGTTTTTAAATGCTTTGACCTTAATAGTTGGTACGAGAGATTGTCTGAGGAAGGAGTTTGTCCCTGTACTAAGATTATGCACATGCACCCGTTCTTGAACAACGAGACACCGAGTATGGCTCAACCATGCCCGATGGCATCAACGCACGTACTCACGTTAGATCCAAAAATAGCGAAAAACCCGGAGCTAATAAAAGTGTTCGCGAAGGGATTGAATCACATCCCCCTTAGGCAGGCAAAGAAAAAGGAGGCACTGGATGTTCTTATGAAGGCTTGGTCGGACACTATTCTCGTCATCAAAAATGTTGAATTTGTATCGGATGCCCTGGTTAAACATATGATCAGCATGGTGAGTACTGTGTTAAACATTGAACTTAGCAAGGGACTCAGGAGGTGCTCCGTGACATACCCATCCTTCCAGTTCTGTAGTGATCTTAAGCATCTAACTGAATCTCTCTACATAACCAGAACTGATAAGGCCGCAAACACACCATTTTTCGTTTGCAAACACCTCATTCGTGCCCTAGCTCTGGACAAACTTTCAAGCGAATATTTTGAGATTTCTGATCTATCACCAGAACAGGTGCTCGACGAGGCCAGTAATTCACTAAGAGAAGCATTCCCACAGGTGAGAATGGATTTCCGAAGTCTGCCATATCTCATGGCAAATTTTAAACAGCATAAAATAACCTTTAGATGGTTAACGAATGCCTCTGACTCCTTTCTGACCAGTATGTCATCCCTGATTGATATGGCATTGACAACACTTAAAGATAGGGTTATGCAACATTGCAGGGAATGTACAGAACCTACGACGATCTTTCTACACACTATACAATGAAGACTACAAACAAACCTAATGACAATTAAGTAAACTCTAAACATGCATACAACAGAGCAAGCCCACTCGTCCCTAGAACTGGCCGACACTACGACTGCCACCGCGGCCCGCCGATCGAGGACCATGAGTGACCGATCGTGCCGAAGAAGCCGCTCTCCTCTCTCTCTCTCTCTCTCTCTCTCCGCCTCGCCACGTCAATAGACTCCTCCTCAGTGTCTGCGTCAACGTCTCCCGTAGTGTCTGCAAGACTCGCCAGTGCTGAAGCCTCTCTCAACGCCGCAATCTCTGCCTCGTGGGCTGTTATACGAGCCCCTATCTCCGCCAATGACTCATGACGTCTCTCCCCCACGCGCATAGGCAAAGCCTCCTCGCCAGAGGTGTATGCCCCGCTTTGCACTCCCTCTGGGGCGGTTGGTATGCGGAGATCTCGCATCCTCCTCGGAAGTCCCACTCCCAAAATGCAACACGTGGTGACTATACAGGGTCGGCCACCACTGCCCCCGCTATCACCCTCGGCCCGTCCTCCCTCCTCTCCCTCTCTCTCTGCCATGGCTCTCTCCTGTGCCTCTCTCTCTACCCTCTGTCTCTCCTCTTGGCGTCGTGCCTCAGCTCCAATAACCTCTCTCCTAAGCTTCCCATCCACTCTTCGCACACTCGACCAAGGACGGTGGTCAGACTGCGGGATATCCTGCCGTGAAGGTGCCAACGAGGCAGGCAAGTGTCCTCTCCCAACAACACTCCCTGGTGTCGAATGCCGCGCAACTGTCTGTGCGCTGGGCGTGGCCGAGACTGAACGTCCCGACCTCTCCTCCTCGTGTCCAGCTACCACCTGCGTGTCCGAGACTGAACGTCCCGACCTCTCCTCCTCGTGTCCCGCCCTCTCCTCCTCGTCTCCAGCTACGACCTGCGTGTCCGAGACTGAACGTCCCGCCCTCTCCTTCTCCTAGTGTCCCATCGCGTCCTCCTCCTGTCTCGCCCTCTCCTTCTCTTGTCCAGGTAACACCTGCTCTACCTCCGCACCTGCAGGTGCCATAAGTCCCAGTACAACGTCACGCACAACATCCGACTCCGAGTCCATCGTGCCTGAACCTCCTGCCTCTGAGGTAAGATGAGTCTGGGAGGGAGGCGACCCGCATTATACAGGAGGCGCTGACACACATGGAACATCAGCATGTCCCGTAACGGTCGGTAATGGCGAGAGAGTGGCATGGTGTGTCGTAGCAGTAGGCGATGAAGACACGAGTGGATCATCAGCACGGCCCCCACCTGAAGGCTGCAGGGCAGCATCCGGTCCAATCAAACCCTCCGCACTGTCGTCAACGCCACCTGCACCAATGGTCTCCAACCGTCTCCTGCGCTCCGCCTCTGCCATAAAAGCCACCCTCCCCGCCCACTGCATCTGAGACAAACGACTCTCCTCCTCGGCGTCAATGCGCGCGTCACGCTCTGCCTCGGTCTCCTCCCTTGGCGTGTCACGGGGACAGTAGTCCGCCATGTCACCCACTCGAACGTGCTGACATCTGCCAATGCCGAAGCCAGACATGCCCTCCACACCCACCATGAAGTCCCTCGTTCGCAAGTCCGAAGGCATGTCCTGTGATGTGTGTGTGTGAATAGGAGTGCGCTGCTCAGACTGCTCACCCTCCACCGTGTCGCACTGTATCTCCTCGAGGTGCTGCAAACAACCGGTCTCTATCTGCGGGGCTGTGCTGTCACGACCAACTAGCCTCTCCGACCATCTACGAGGCTGAGCGTCTCTCCCCACCTCAGGCGCCAGCGAATGACATGGACGCAACAAAGGCTCGGCATCCTCCACTGCCTGCTCATCGTCGGTGCTGTCAACACCGAACACCCTCCTCGGCTGTGTGGCACCTCTGGTCATGCTCGTGCCCACGCCACGTCCGGTGCCATGATGTGTGTCAGATGTACCGCGCGGAGGGTCGTGGTATGAGGTCGTGCTGTGCTGCTATGTCCTCCCTGTGCAAAGTAGACTCTCTCTAGCGTCTTGTCTGCACGACATGCGATCTCCTCGAGGTCGGTCCAGTCCTCATCGCCATCAACGGCGTCGTCGCCCGCAGGTCGAGCCGTGTCATCCACAACCTCCTCCTCCGGCACCTGTGCCTCATACGGGAGGAGAACCGCGACTCTCGCACCAAACACCTCTGACACTGGACGAGGCCGACGACTACCTAGCTGCTGTTATCGGCGTCTTGTCGACGCCAACTCCTCCTCCATCACAGATGCGCGGGATCACGCTCCCCATACCAAGGGCGCGGGCTCGTCCTCACCCTCTACCTCATCCAGGGCGTCCAAGTGTCCCCACGGAAGAACATCTCAGAACACTCCAACAGTTTGAGATTGGTGGCAATCTCAACCAGCTGAGCGACCTTTGTGAACTCTAACCTGTTACGCCTAGCCGTGCACACGTGCTCATGTTCCGCCCAGTTCCTCTCTGCGGGAGAGGCCGACGTCCACATGTGCAGCACCTGCGTTGCAATCTCCTGAAGATCGGGGTATGCGCCTCCGTGCTCCTGCCACCAAGCAGCACACCTCGGTGTCTCGTCGTCCCCTCTGCATGCCTGCACCTCCGCGTCCCTCGTGGCAGGGTCGGTCGAAAGAGGACCCATACGTGCGTGAAACTGTCTCATCTGCTCACGCGTGCGCAAGTACCGAGCGCATGCCCGATCTCCCCCCGTCTGGGCAAGGAAGAAGTTGTCGCACTCTTGCACAACCTCCAAATCCTCCGCTGTCCTCACCCTCGCGTCGTAGTAATGACGCCTACGAGGATTGAGGAGATACGCCACGGCGTGCGCCGGCTCCAGCATATGCTGGTGACGGGCGAGGACATGTTCGATGCAATCATCGACTATCTCAGAGGGGATCCTCTCTCTGTCCTGCAAGCATCACGACTCATCCACCACACGTCGACTCCAAGAATAAATCAGGGACATAACAAGCCCTCCCCTATCCATCCACCTGAGCAACTGGTGGATCGGAGTCATCACCAGAATGCCATACTCCACATCCCGCCAAAACAATCTGTTGCGGATAGTCTGGCGCACCCACACCGCCTGGTCGACCAATCGAGACTCCCAGGGAATGCTGTCCCAAGCCTCATCGTGCAGCATCGACTCAAGCGCGTCTCTGCGCTCCTTTAGGCAAAGGAGCATCAAAAACACAGACGTGAATCTCGTCTCCACAGGCTGAACAAGGGATTTGCACTTGCTCTTCGACCTGAAAAGATGAAGAGCAGCGCCGTGCATCTTGATAAACCGCACCAAGGCCCTTCCACGAAGAATGGTCGAGGAAATGCAGTCTACCCGGCGGATCCCTATGTCTGACAATATCGAGTTGCAGACGTGGGTGGCGCATGGGAGCCACATGGTACGACGCAGCTCCGGGCAGCGTCCTTTGCAAGGAGCTTTGCGGCCGACGTGTAGTTGGACGCAGAGCCCGTGCAGATCGCCAACGAATGACTAGGAGGGAAGGACCTAAAAATGACCTTCCATCTCCTCAACACTATCTCCCCCGTCTCAGGAACGGAAGCATATTGACACACGGTGGCATAGAGAAGCGCGCCATGCTTGCCAGCGGCAAGGAAGTTAATGATGGGCCGCAAATCTTTGGACCTCCTGCCATCTGTCAAGATGGTGGCCCCAATTGCCTCGAACGATGCATTCACAGGAGCGAGCCTGGTAGCGACCTGATCGCGCTTCTCAATAACCCTACTCCCCCCAATCTCCTTGTGACTAGGATACACCATCCGTACTCCACGTGGCAACTCAGCCACCACCTTGCGGTGTCTCCTCCAAGAGCTTCTCAGGAAAGCACGGAACGGGATCCCCGCGTCATACACCCACTCCAAAAACGTGCTCCTCGTCTGCTGTTGAGCGTTGCCATCATACACCTCGTCGATGGTCGTTTGTCTACGTCTCTTGTGCCCCTGCGCAGGAATGTCATCGTCCACCTCATCGACGTGCATCTTCCCTCTCGCTCTCTCTCTCTCTGCCCAGCATCGTGAGATCCACCTCCCGTGCCACGCGCAGTCATCACGACCTCCTCCCCCCTCAAATGTGGGGGACTCGAACCACCCTCCCCTCCCACCTCCACAGTGCCTCGCATGGTATCGGCCTCTCGCCTCGCCTCCCGGTCCAAAAACGCCTCCACCTCGTTCACATCGTCCATCATATCGTCATCTTGGTGCGCACCGAGCCCTCCACCTAGCTGCCTCCTCTGCGTGCCCCTCCCCGACAAAGATCGTGCGTCAGCTATGCCCATCTCCTCCATATAACGTAGGATACCCTCCTCGTGACGTGGGTCAAACTTGTATCGCGTCTTGTTCCATATGTCCGCCAAAACGGACAACGGTGCCTGTGAGAGAGAGAGATAGAGAGAAGAGAGTGCGTGTGTGCGTGTGTGAGTGTGTGTGAGAGAGAGAGAGAGAGAGAGAGAGCCCTTTCCCAACTTTCTCCCTCTCACTATCCCGACTTCCCCCCGCCCTATCCCGACTTCCCCCCCTCCCGCTATCCGGACTTTCGCCCGCCCAATCCCGACTTCCCCCTAATCCCGACTTCCCCCCAATCCCGACTTCCCCCCAATCCCGACTTCCCCCCAATCCCGACTTCCCTCCTCCCCTCCAACGAAAAGAAAAAGAAAACGAAAATTAAAACAAGAAGAAA